AAAAAAGTTACTCGGTGAGGCAAACAGTACGCCTGCCTCAAGGCAGAGGGCGCTAGTGAGCCCACAGATTCTTGCGCTACCTTCAATCTTCTTCGTGCTTGTTTATATTTCCTTTACAATCCGCCTTATCAAAATGGAAGATTACATTTCCAAGCTGAGAAAATTCGCAAATCTGGACTTTCAATCAAAACATTTTTGACAGTCTGGACATTTTTGTCCAGAAGGATCTTCTTTATTGAAAACATCTGTTTTAATATTGGATTCGAACGGTAAAAGGGTTTGTAATACATACCAGCTGACAAATGGATTTCGTGTACAAGTAAAGGTAAGACCATAAACTTTTATTATTTCTAGTTAGAAATAAGCTCAACTGGAATAAATTTTAACCTCAAATTAAATATGGGTCACGTTTGTGTGAAGAATGTTGATATGAGATATAAAACATAACGCATTGTCTGTTAACAGACAATTTGTATTTGTAAATCTGACTGTAAAAGAGTTAGTGCCTCACCAGCTGTCAACCTCACAGCACGTCACTGACAACAACATATCCTGGTCTCTACCCTCTGGTATGATTCAGATGGGTTAGAAACTGGAAATGAAGAGAGGTCTCTCCTTGTGTTTTGTCAACCCATCCATGCAACCTGACTTCCTCCCTTTACAGACTGTGTCACTCTACATTAACATCACCTGATTTCCTCCTTTGCTCCTTGTCATAATTAATACTGCCACTAGATATGGGTCATAATAAGCTGCTTGCACAGATAATCTGTAAGGTTTTTTATACATTAGTTCATTACTTACATAGTTTATCAATCAAATTCATTAGTATTAGTTTTAACTGCTTAAACATGTCTCACAAGTTAACAATAGTGTAACACAACTTACTATAATGCACAGTATTGAACTGCCTCATAGTTTATATCAACCTAAAGAGGTAGGTAACCAATGTTCTGCTGGTTTACCTTTCACAATGTGGCTGTTTATGACACATTAACAAATAATACATTACAAATAGTCTGAGTAATCACACTAACATGGGCCAAAGAGGAAGATTAAAACTTAAATTAAAGTCACACAGCAGCGTAAAATAGTTTGACAAGTTTGAAAGGCTTTACAAATCATTTCTCACCAGACTCATTGCTGATGCTTCATTATCACGATTTCAGCCTGCTGCTAAAGTGATGGTATAAAAGTACAGCAACAGCTGAAATGGAGTTGCAGCTGCTTGGTGGCCCTGAACACAGCTGATAATCGAGAAAAGATGGACACCAGATTCATGTCTGTGGACATCGTGTTTACTTTTCTCTGAAGTGCTCCCACATACACAAAAACACACAAACAGGAACACTCCACTTCCAAATGAGTAGCTGGTAAAGGTGCAAGGTTAGACATGTGCACATCAAAGCTGAAGACTCATGCAGTATGTACAGGTACTCGTATGTGCACATACAGTGCATAAAAGCAGATGCATAAAAAAGTATGTGTGTGTTTGTGTTTGCGCGCTGAAGAAATGTTTCAGTGTGCACCAAGGGAAATCAGAAAGCACCCGCCAGCCTCCAGCTCCTAGGGGTGAGACTTCATAATTACACTTTTACACTTCGAGACACAGTGACACGCACACACTTGTAACTACAGTCTGCTACCACAATCCCATTAAGTCATTTGGGACCTTTAGACATTTTTTCCATAATTTAACTGGTCACAGTTTCTGGTATTAAGGCCACTGTGAGGACATGAGTTCACTGGGTCTGACTGTGTATCAAACGTCCACCAGGTCTGAGGTTCAGTTCCCAGCCGACCCAGTAGCTTGCTCTTGTTCCTGCAAGTCAGAAACCCCTTTCATCCATATTTTCTCACCACTGCCAGGCCCTGCAATTTAATGGATTGAGAACAGGAGGAAAAGAGTGAACTTACACACACAGACACACACCTTAAACAAAGCTAACATCTACTGTATAAAAGAGTACCCAAGCATGTAATTGCAAGGCCTTTGGCTCTACTGAATGAGGTTTACTGTGCTCTGTAATAAACACACTATGCTGTGTTGTCAGCACTGATGTAACACAGTAGAAAGAGTGCTAGAGACACAGAGGGAAATCAGTCTTTGGGGCTTTTTTCCTTACATTTACAGCAGTACATCATCATAGCAGCGCAACAGGGAGAGAAAGAGATGTTGAAGAGAAAAGCAGAAAGAAGGGGTGGGGGGGGGGTGAAATGATAGGGAGAAGACTAGCAGCCCAGCTGTGTTTTCCTGTGGTGAGACCAACAGAGAGATGACACTGACTGATAGAGATATAAAGTCTTGGTGTCAAGAGACAAAAACAGAGCTTCTGGCCATGTGTGCTTGCATTCAGTTTCCTTTTATCTCTATTTGTGTGTGTTTTCAGAGGAAGTCGTTTTCTGCGGGTGTTGTACACACGGTGGGGAGTTTAGGTGCTCGGGGGGCAGTGTGTTAGGTGGTGGAAAGACTGTGTGTTTGTGAGAGACACTTGTGACTGGAAGCAGTGTTGTGTATGTGTATCATGTTGTGGATGTCTGTATGCTGAGGGGTGACAGTGTGAGTTTTTCTTTGCCCTCTTTGAGTGAGAGAGGAAAGGTTGTTTTCCAGTGTGTGTGTGTGTGTGTGTGTGTGTGTGTGTGTGGTTAAGTCAAGGGGCCACAAGAAAATGATGCTCTTCTACATACTTTCAACCTTGTTTTGTTACACACTGCCTGGCCTCAGACTGTGTTTATGAGCGTGTAAGAAAACCTCACTCATTCCTTCCTTTGTGGACTTGATGTTAAATGATGTTTTCCTGAGTCAGTTTAACAATACGACTATCCAGTGTGAAAAAATATACACATTCTGACTTCAGTTCCACAAACAATAGACTGATGCATATATTATTGCTGTCACTCTTGGAAGTAGCTAAGAAATGCATTTCCTATGTTGATGAGCTTTGATCTATGAGTTTGAGTCAAACTATCATGGGAATATTGCTTTTAGATCTAATGGCATTATGCAGGCAGGGAGCTGCCTTGGTGGAGGTTTGCACTGTCTGTCTAGTTGCATGATAATATTCTCAGGGTGCAAAAAAAAAAAACTTGTGGGTGAGGGGTCGATGGTGGAGCACCGAGCATGAAAAACTAGGTGTGCCAGAAAAGAGTGAAGACTGAAAGAACAAGTTGTATGAAGATTTCAAAGAAGGTAGGAATTTGATGGATGTAAAGAGAACCAGTGGAAGGAAGGAGTAATAACGAAGTAGTAATAAATGAGTGATTTTAAATGCTTGAAATGAACCAGGATCTGTTCTCAGTTATAAAACCCATTTCCTTGAATTATCCCGTAAATTTTACACACCCAAACTATAATTCAATTTGCCAAAAGCTCTTCTTGGCCACTGCTCCTGAGTGATTCATGCATCTTTCTAACATAAAACACACACTCTTACTTACACCCTGATGATAGCGATGGTCGGGCCGGCAAAGCTGATGCTGACTGGCCATTTGAGGTATGTCAGCTGAGAAGGGACATTAGACTGAGCTGCTGACACCATCATTTCTTCATCTGATAAATTAAATTGACCTGCCTGGGAGGAGAGAGTGGAGCCACGGTCTGGAGGAACAGTCCATGGGGGGAACACAAAACAGTAGCTGGCTGGGGATAAATACATACAAAAACAATGACAACGCATGGAGTACGGTTGGCCTAGTGACTAGAAGGAACTGGCAAGTGACCGAGGAGTGAAACCGGGTAATATAGTGAGCGACCTAATCAAGTGCAGCTGGTGATAAGGGAGTGAGGAACAGGTGAACGTGATTAGTGTTAATGGGCAAGAGACAGTAGGAAAGGTGAGGGAGGCCAGAGCGGCCGAGCAAACCTGACATATTCATGCATGTTTTCTAACATAAAACACACAGTTCCACAAACAATAGACTGATGCATATATTATTGCTGTCACTCTTGGAAGTAGCTAAGAAATGCATTTCCTATGTTGATGAGCTTTGATCTATGAGTTTGATGATGCTAGAGGAAAGTTCCTGAAGGTAGCATGAGTACACGAGTACCAAATTTCATATTGGTTCATCCACCTAATGTTGAAACATCTCATTAAAAAAATGTGAATGTCATGGTGACACTAGGGGAAACTAGAGGATAACCAAAATTATTAGGACATGCCATCTGGGAACCATGAATATCAGTACAAATATCCATGGCAATCCATCCAAAAGTCCATTCAGTCTAAACCAAAGTGAAAGACAGACCAACTGATATTGTCATCCTAAGAATGATCCACTAGCTAAAACCCCAGCATGTGAACAGAGCATCTCTCCAGGAACCATATCAGAGTTAACTCCACTATTCTAGGCTTTTTCAGCACAAACTCTTTCGGTAGAAAACAGTGTGCATACCCACGTATTAACACTATATGACTCTGCAATGTCAGGCTTTATCCTTTGTCCTGTTTGTGAAATGCCTGAGATTGAACTGTTGCGGCTCCTTCTCCTTCTACCCTTCCTGCACGGGATAACAAAGTAGTATTCTTGAGTGTCCTCTGTTCTTCTCACTCTCCATAGGTTTTCCATGCCAACACCGACGCCACAGAGGTGGTTCTCAATCGCATCCCACAGCCAGTCCTGGCCCGTTTCGTACGAGTCAGACCTCAGACATGGAAGAACGGCATTGCACTGCGGTTTGAACTTTACGGCTGTCAGATTACGGGTAAGAAAGACAAAGCATCTTTTACTGTAGAGTTTCTCAGACTTTGTTGTTTTTGTCAGTCTCCCTGTGGGACTAACGCATGTGAAAACACAGACGTCATTATTCCAGGTTTTATATTAGTGATATACTGGCTTTTACACTGGGTCAGAAGGCGGGTCAGAGCAAAAATACCTCCTTTAGAAAGCATTTCCTGGAAAAGAACAGAGACGTGTGAAAGGGTCTTTTTTTCTTCATTTGTAGAATCTAATGATAAACAGCCCAGTAATTTGTCCATCAATCAGTCCATCCAGTGCTTCATCCAATTCATACTTTTACCTCCTTCCTCCCCTGGGTTTCTCTCTCTTTCAAATGCACACAACACACCCACTCTCATGTGCACTCACACTCTTGCCCTCGCATATACATATGCTCCCTCTCTGTCTCCCACTCAAACATCACACACACACACACTCACACAAAGAAACTCACTCAGTCCTAATAGAATAACACTAGAGTGTGATGTGTGGGTGATAACATCAGAGAGTAACAGGCTCTCAGCTTTCATCTGCAGCCCTGGCAAACAAACACAATTTCATCCAGCATAATCAGCTCAATACCATAAATAGATAAAACTTAATTAGACTATCTGTTTTTGTGTGTCTGCATCTGTGTGCTATAGAAATGATAAAAAAAAAGAGAGTTTCGATCCACGTGTGTGTGTGTGTGTGTGTGTCTCCCAGCTCCACTGTATCATTATTAGGTTAGGGCCTCTCTCTGCTGCCATCGAAGTGGCCATTGAGAGGGGACAGATATGCTCTTATCTAGGAGGGCTATTTTAGCACCCACACAAATCACAATCACACCAAAACAATATGATAGTGTGTGTGTGTTTGTGATAGAGAGAGAAAGAGACATGGTATATGTCAGGTATCTTTGCCTGTGCTTTTTTTTTATCTTTTTTTAGCCTATATTTTAACACCTGAAATTGCATTATATATCACACTACTGCTCCCATTCTCTCAGCAGCGAGAGGGGCCATCCACCACAGCCTTTTCCCTGTGTCTTGGCCTTGTCTGCTGCCCGACAATGTCTCCAATCCATCACAGGCCTGAGTGAAACACTGACTTTAAAAACAGTGATATGCAAAATCTTGACAGTTTGGTTTACTGAGAAGAATGACAGATTTAGTTACTTTAGAGGTAAACAGGGAGAATAACTGTTCCCCTGCAGTTTCACTGAAATATGTCTATATCCTGCTGAGAAAAACTTTATACCCAAACCTACCAGCTAATGACCAGCAGTTTCTCTCCCTGCACACAGACATATTAACAAGCACACACATGAACACACTGCCCGGGGGAATGTGATAATGCCCTGCACACGCCTATAAAGGCAGACGTAAAGCAACCAGTCAGTGGCATGTCATTAACTTAAATCACATTTTTATGTCTCTCATGCTACTTTTTCTCACTTTCTACCGATCCCTCTTCAATGTTGCTGTTTTTTCTTCCTTTACATTCTGCTGTTTCCTCCGTCCTTCTATTGCCTTTGCTGACAGCTTCCACATTACCACTTTTTCTCACTCTCTCTCATTTTCTCCTCTCTGTCCCTTCCCTTCAATCTTCCCTGTCCCTCCTTCATTCAGTTCTTCCTTTCTCCATCCCTCCTTTTCTCCTACCTGTCCTGCCTTTAGCTCTGCGGCACCCATCAGTCATTTATAGCACTTTCACCATTTTGTTTTAACCGGGATTGTGCATGCAGCCGTGTGCATGTGTATTGACTAGGTAGATCTGCAGTGGTACTTTACAGCTTTTGTAAGACCCTGTTATTAGGAAAAGCACAGTGGGAGAGTCCGTGTGTGTGGGCTGAACACCAGAGCACATGTGAGAGGAAATGTGTTTTAGCCTGTGTTCCACCAGTATGCACTGGTGCACGTATCTCTTTGTGCTAGTGTGTGTGTCTATGTACATTCTGTATATAGGTGCGTGTGTGAGCTTTAAGGGCTCTCGTGCAGGTGTATGATATCTAGCTAGTTCTGTTGCTGTGATCTCTGAGGACGATGTTCTCATTGACTCCCACAATGCTCCTGTATTAAAGTGCTTGCTGGAGTGCAGCATCTACTGGAACAGAGAGATGCAAAAATAAGAAACATCGAATAAACAATACAATAATAGAATTTTCTTCTGGCTAATCAGTTTTTGCATCTGTTATAGGACTTGAGGAAGTGCATCTAGTATGGCTTTAGCTGTTGTTGTTTGTTGTTGATTCATTATTTACTATAGTGAAGTGCAGTTGCAAATGTCACAATATTAAACATTCATCTCCACAAAGACCCAAAGAATGTCACCATCAATCAGCATCACCCTTCACTGTCAATCTGCTCCCCCTCTCTCTCTGCTCACGTGCTTCTCTCTTTATCTTTGTCACCCTTTCTATTCACTTGCTTTCTTTTCAGTCCAGCTTTGACCTTTTGTCTGTCTCTTTATCGCATCCCGGTCCTTTAACTTCTCTTTCTCACCTTTTATCGGGCTTTACCTCTCTTCTTTGTATTTTTCTAGTCCTTACTTAGAGTATATCTGCTGTTTTAATCTCTTCTTTAATCCTATAATGCTTTTACTGTGTCCATTTTAAAGTAGAAATGATCCATTTGTTTGTGCTCCCTTTTTATTTATTGGTTATTATTCATGGTCAAACCATATTTTAATGCTTCATAGTTTATCTATTATAGGAACCTACTGATGTGTGTTACACCCAGTAATGCTCATTGTGGGTTCTGTGTTTGTTTCCACTACAATGTGCCCACTTTGGAGGTGCGTTCTGGGAGCTAAATTTGGGTGCCCCTCAGGAGGTAGTATTAAAATCAAGCACCAGGAACGCAAGGGGGGAGCGAGTACATGCACACAGAGCCGTCACCAGTGATTGGCTAAATGTCCACGTCTTCACAACAACATTGGCATTACAAGCACAGTGTGTAAATACTCAGCTGACTGTATGGGTGAGAGAGGAGCAGCCCCTCCCTCCTCTAAACAGAGACCAACAAAGGGGAAAAAACAAAGCAGGATGATACGCGCCAACCCCAGAGGCTATGCTGGGTGATGGTTAAGGGAAGTATGGGCTAGACTGCTTGTTAGGTTCTGACAGTGGAAAAGCAGCACAAGACACATTTGTCAGTGCATTAAACAGTGTCCCTTTGATCTGCAGCATGCTTTTATTTAGCTCTTTTATTTGGGAGTTTTCTGCCTCAGTTCCCCATGAACAGTCCCTTCTGGTAGCTTGGGTAAAGTGATGCATCAACACTGCAACACCAGGAAAAAGGAAAAGGAAAAATAGTGAAATGTGCTCATGGAAAGCAGCTTGGAAGAGGCGCAGAGTGGAAGACACCAGTTGTTCCTTCAACAAATTTGTGTCACAATCACAGGGGAGTCTTACTTCAAGATGAAATCCAGTGGTGTCACCTTCATTCACAAAGATGTTTTAGCAACAAGGCGACCTCATCTAGCCATGCTAGGAAACAGAACAACATTTTGGACTTAGAGAAAATCAATCCAATAGCCATTAAAGAAGAATAAAAAAGTATGTATTGGCCTGTTATCTTCAAATGAAATTTTTATCACTCCTGCACACTTCTTCGGTTTTTCAATTGAATACCTACCTTGCTCTTTGGAAAATTCTGATTTTATGTTTTCATTTTACAGACACAAGATATAAAATCCATCAGAGCAAATATTTGGTTAATGTTTTTGTCAATTTTGCCTTATTACTGTGTAGTAATGCAGAGGCCATTAAAAATCTTTGTTGTTGGTGCAACAAATGCTTCTCAAAAAAGCTCCAACACCAACCTTTTTATAACAAGAACTCAACAGATGTATATTATCATCCAAACTGCAGTCTTATTTCTTACTGTTTGTCCTCTGTGTGTGATTTTCAAACGGTTCTTGAATTCAAGCCTTTCAACAGCTGCCTGTCAAATGTTGGGTGCTGTAGTGATCCTTGAAACTGTTGTTGCTTGATACTGCATTTACTTAAGAAAGTGCATCAGCATTCACTCCTATCACCCCCCCCCCCCCTCAGAAATCACTTTCCCATTCAAACAATCAAAAAGTTTGTTTAGTGCTTTAGACGTTGCCCCACAATAATAAAAAAGTCTTCTTACTCCTTTTTCTCTGTCTTCTGTTCAGACGCTCCATGCTCAGAACTGCAAGGCATGTTGTCTGGTCTGCTGCCTGACTCCCAGATCTCTGCATCCTCCATGAGGGACATCCACGGATCCATGGGAGCAGCCAGACTGGTGGCCAGTCGGTCAGGCTGGTTTCCTAACCCAACACAACCCATAGCTGGAGAAGAATGGTTACAGGTATGTCAGTGTAACTTTATGAGTGATCTTGTTGTTAACATGATAGTATACTGAATGTTCTAGAGAAAGAAATTCCTGGATCTAAGTTGTGTCAAAAATGTCTCATCTCATCAAAGCACAGACTAACAGAACAAACCCAAAATAATGCAGAGCATTTCCCACAGCATCTGCAATGGCTGTTGACCAAATGATGAAAGAAAATCACTATGACGTGCATGCTAGAAAACCAGTGATGTCAGGGCCTTTGAGAAAACAGTGCTGGACTCAATCATACTGCAAGAAACTAAAGGTTTGCTTGAGGATATTGCAGCATTTAGGAAAAGTGGGAATAAAACATATAACAACAATAAGGAGACAAAGAATAGGAGAATGAAACAATATCCTACAAATAACATAAGTATCACAGTGCATCTAAGAAACTGCAAAACTTTGCCTCAGTCTGGCTTATTTCTAAACTGACCAAGTTCATGAAATGCGATAAAAATTCAACAAGACCCCAGTTCCAAAGCCTCACAACTTCTCATGAGTTCGCTGATGGAAAACCAGCATTTGATTGATAATATGCTTAGTCACAGTTGCCACAGTAGACAGAAGCTCTGGAAAGTGATTGGTTTCTGTGGCTCAGAGAGTGATCTGTTAATAATAATCATGTTTGTCTGCGTTGTAGGTGGACCTTGGTGTGTCCAAGATGGTGCGTGGTATTATTACCCAGGGTGCAAGAGGGCTGGAGGGCAGCACCAGCACTGAGAACAGGGCGTTTGTCAGGAAGTACAAACTGGCGCACAGCTTGACCGGCAAAGACTGGAGCTACATTACTGACAGCAAGACTGGGTTTGCTAAGGTAAAGGAGGGAACCTCATACACACATTGTACACACACATAACCTCTCTCTGCCTGGTATATACATAGGAACTCTTCTCTTTCTGATTGTCGCTGACAGTTCTCCCTCATTTGTAGTTTATTTATAGCTGTCTTTCAACTGAGTCCATTTTCGCTCTCCCTCTCGTTCCCTCCCTCTTTTTGTCTCTCTGACTTGTCTTTTTCAGTTTAAAAAAATGTTATTACAGCCTCAGCTCTGATAATAATTCAGTGTAATCACCTCACTCCTCATTCTCCCTGCTTCTGTCTCCGCTTCAAGTCTTCAAATCCTTTGTGTTTTCTCTGTCTCTCATTGTCTCATTCACTCATCCTCTACTGTATGCGTCTCTCGTGGGTGTTAATTAAAAATGCCTTTCCTGCATCACCACTCAACGCTGCTGACAGTCGAAGGCGCGATGAGGCCGAGCATTTTAAACCCAGTTTTCCTTTCTGAGACTGTCTTAAAACACTTTAATAGTGCTACTGAGTGCCTTGATTTTCTCAGGCTAAAACCCTCTTCTCCCTCATCTGCCTGTCTTTTTTAAATGAGTATCCTGGGAAATTCAGCATATGTTTTAAAAAAACTTCAGAAGACACAAGTCAGTCAATAAAACCAACATTATAGCTTTCACAGCCCACATTTCTGATCCCACATTGGTGAAATCTAATCTGTTTTCATGTTGTAATAAATCTATTTGCTAGAGGCTGCTGCAAGTCACCTCAAAAAAGTATGTGAAATTTAAAAGTAACACACTCTCAGTTGTTATTTTTCTGACATGAGTCATACTGTGCTGAGAAACGGTGCTGATTAGGTAATTAGGAGTGTTTTAGGACTTTGGGAAGACACGCTTACATTTTTCCTACTGTTTTACAATGAGAAGTAAATGGTGGAGCAGTGAAATGACAACATTTAATTGATTCTGCTGTATTTACATGTTTCTCTAGTTTTTCAGAAAACTCACCCTCAGTGATGTGTTTACCACCAAAATGATGTCCCATGAGTCAAAGCTTATCACTCACTCATGCTTTTGATTCCCTCCTCTAAGATTTTTGAAGGGAACAGCCACTATGATACTCCAGAGGTGAGGAGGTTCGATGAGATAGTGGCCCAGTACATCAGGGTCTTTCCAGAGAGGTGGTCGCCTGCTGGGATTGGCATGAGGATAGAAATCCTTGGCTGTGACCTGCCCGGTAAGAACACACACACACACACACACACACACACACACACACATGCATGTGTAAGTTAACTGAAGGCCACACACACATTCATCCATCCGTTCATTATCTATACCGCCTATTTCTGAATGGGGGAGGCTGGAGCCAATCCCAGCTGACACTGGGGTCCACTCTGGACAGGTCGTCAGTCTATCACAGGGCTGACATGTAGACAAACAACCACACTCAATCCTAGGGACAATTTAGAGTCATCAATCAACTTAAGCTGCATGTCTTTGGACTGTGGGAGGAAGCCGGAGTACCCGGAGAGAGCCCATGTAGGCACAGGGAGAACATGCAGACTCCACACAGAAATGCTCAAACCTGGAACCTTGTCGCTGTGAGGTGACAGCGCTAACCAGCATGCCACTCTGCCGCCACACTTCTAGACAAATATACAGATACAACACACCAATGGTTATGCACAGATGGCCTTACAAAGGAATGTACAGTTGTGCACACAGAAATGCTCACAAATAAACAGACTCATTCACAGTGTCAGTATCCTCCTTTGTATATTACCCACACAAAATACCACACAGCCTGTAAGTACAATCAAGACAAACTTTGATCACAATCTTTTCCATCTCATATATTATTATAATTATGTCTGTTACACTGATTTAACATGATCTATACATGCAAACAAAATATTAGTTATCTGAATGTGTGTAAATCACATGATTAATCTCTAGATCAGTGATTAGTGTGTATTTGAGTGCATATTAATTTGTGTGTTTGTGAGCAATTCGATTGTGTGTGTGAGGCTCTGTATGTGGAGTACATATGTACAGTACAGTGCATGTGTGTTTCAGTGTAGATGTGTATATTTATGGGCATATACTGTATATATATTTATATATATATATACTTGTGTGAGTGAAATGGCAGATGAAGTTAATCACCTTGCTCTATGGGAGCTTTTGCAACATGTCTGGATGGGGATTAACATGTCTAGGTCATGGGACTTTAACTAATAGTAGCCAGCTGTGTAGTTGTGTATTGTTTTCACAGCCTATTATTCTAGCTAGTGTGTAGTGAAGGATTTGGTGCAGTTCATGGTCTGCTGAATTTTTCCATGATCAATCCATGATCTATTCTGTTAAAACTGAAATAATATCAGCTTTGTTTTTCAACTGTTCCATTTGGTATATTTTTCTTGTGAAAGGACGGTGGGAACCGTCAGAGTGACGATTTGAAGTAAAGAGTATGAATGCACACTATTACTACATATGTTACTTTATTGACTAAATACTATTCATTACAATATGTTGCCATCATATATTGCTTGTTAGCTATGCCAAGCAAATTATTCACTACTGCACAATAACTACAATAATAAAGAAGGCAAAGGAACAAGGAAGAATCGTGTGCTGCATAAATTCACCAACAAGTGAAGTACGTATAGACAATATGGACACTTTGTCAGTGAGGGTGTTAATTATAACTTATATCCCATGTTCTCAGTGTTAGGGGACATCATAATTACACCTGAAACACTAACTGCATTCTGCTTAATTGCGTTTACAACTAGTTTCTTATGTTACTGCTTAATTGCGTTTACAACTAGTTTCTTGTGTTACTTTTACTTTACTTTAACTGTTACTTTAGTGACCAACCTCCTCTCCTCTCCTTTTATGTTGCCTTCATGTGCCATCAGATCATGTAGGTTTGTTCAGGCTGTGCTATGTGACAAGTGAAGACAAGAACAGGAAATGACACGTACCAGTTCCCAGTGGACACGAAATGGGCTGTTGCCTGCAACTAATGGCTAGAATTCTGTTTTCCAGACTTGTCTGTGTCTGTGTGTGTGAGTGAGAGCAAGAAAGAGCCCAAAGGGAACAATACATCCTAGATGTGTCAGGACTAGCCAGGAGGCTGGTGATGATGGGGAAAGAAGAGACATCCTTTACTCTTAACAGAGGTTTTAACAGGTTGCTGTGGATATATTCAATGTAAATCTCAGGCCTGACACAAATTTACCTCAGACAAAGAAAGATTCTATTTTAAAGAGTTAAATGAGTTGCATGAATATATTTAAGATAACACGGGGATCTATTATAATGCATCTAATAGAAAGGTATAACAGTCAGTGGAAAACTTCTGCTGAAACTTTTAGCAACACCTCTTATCTGGTACCAGTCAGTGTACATTTGTGACTCAGAACAAAACTATCTACATCTCTTATATGTTTTGACTCTTTCTACTTTTCAATTTCATATTCAGCTCTGATTTAACCTCTCTGCCAGTTAACAGCATCATAAAGGAGAGGACATAAGAGTGGCTTGTTTAGAGGCTTTCTTCCTGGTAGAAAAGTCCTTTTTTCATTTTGAGTTTTAAGTCACTGGCAGTAATCATTAAAATATTAACATTCTAAAATGGAGCCCTCAGGCATAACAAAGTAACAGTGAAACATTGACCTTGACATAAAACAAAATTAAGGTTGATTATCTTGCTTGTACAAGTGATGAGTTCTCTCTAATGGTGATCTTTTTTTTTTGTAATGTCTCCAGTCAAGCCGACTGCAGCCCATGTGACTGTGCTAGCAGTGTTTTATTCTACCCATAGACTTTGCTTGTTATTGTGCCTAATGACATCACCCGCATCATGTCTGCAGCTATCATCTCTACGATCACAGTACGGATCACCCTCTTGGCTATCGGAGTTTCTCACATTGTCTGCTGCTCATGCTATCCGTGTCTGCATGCCAGATGTTTGCCTTCTGGATGTAATCTGTGCATTAAACATGATAACAGTTCATCCCCACTTCACATAATCACCACAGCAACCGCTCCTGTGACCATCCTAAATACCACTCATAAAGATAATTTTACAGCTTAGTGGCTTAGAGCAAGTTGATTCTGTTAACTTTCATTTTGTCTGGTTTGGTATCTGGTTTATTGTCTTAAAAGACGTTAGGATCGTACCACTGGAAAACACGTGATCTCACCAGCTATGGAGTCACAATCATTTTGCTAGTGTTATAAATGAAAACAGTGAGAGAGAAAAGCACATCAGACTGTAGACAAAACACACTTTTTCTCTTCTTGCTTGTGTGTGTAACGCTGTGTGTGTGTGTGTTTGCACTTGCTCTGAGTTGTAACAGAAGATAAAATATTCAACAGAGTGCATCAGCTTCAGTCCACTGAACACAGCTGTTTACACATAAGTCACAGGCACAGAGAAACACAAACACATTCAGTTCTAGTGGAACTCTTTTATAAATTCAGACAAACAAACACATAAACACACACAGATACAGCAACAAATAGGAAGAAATATACCAGGTCATACAAGAAAAGACCTAACAGCACCTGGCCATCTCCATTCAGGTTAAATACTGACGCTGGTTCCTTCCTCTAGCCAAATCTTTCCATTCGTCTAAACAGGCGGCTTTCCAAATGACTCATGCCCTGATCCCCCCACTGCACCCCCCACCCAAACAGGATATCCATGAAGTTACCCCACATTAAAAGGGGCACCCTTGATCTCTTAAAATGTAAACTGTGGGCATTGCCTTTTCCCCAACACTTTAGTGTATACAGTTGAGGCACAGCCCCGCCTGTCCTGGCACTGCTCAGGAAGTAAAGGAGTGATTTAATGAATTGATTAATAAATAAAAAAGAGGCATCACCAGGCAACCACGTGTACTGTAGACTGACACACACATACATACATACATAGGGCAGTCTGCAGAAATCAGAGTGGCCTTTTTATTATTCAGTAGGTGGTTTCAGACCTTTGTTCATTCTATCTCTCTCTTTTTTTTCCTGTGGACCCTGGAAAGAACATGGACCTCTACTGGTGACAGCTACAGCCATGCTTAGCTCACTGTTGCATTTTATTGTGCCTGTGACTATTATTAATTGCATTTTGAAGAAACCAGTTTTTATCCGAGTTTATTTCCCGGCAGCTGTTCACATAAATAACAGACCCGGACAGCATGATGACCTGGTTGACTTAATATAATTTACCGTGCATCAATATTTAGCCTTTCAAATTACTGATCAATAATCATAAATTAAATAAATCCTGGCCACTGGGCTGTAAACCATTTTCCTGACATGGGAGAGACAATCTCAGCACCCAGATACATTAAGGACATCTGATATTGTGGATGCACGGTTCTTAGCTGGCACACAGTAATATGGTTTAGCATCTCATTATTGTACAACTCCCGGTGTAAAAACACAAGACAAAAGCCAGAATATTATTACAGGACTCATTCTAATCATTCACGCTAGCTATGGAGGCAACATGTAATTTAGGTCTTGTAACTCCGGCTATTGGATGTGAACTGAGAGCTGCCAAGCTGCCAGTTTTGTTCATGTTTTAAATGACTGAGCTATCAAAACATCTGTTCTCATTTCTTTCACTCCACACCTAGTTGTTGGCAGCAGTAAGGCACATATGTACACACACATATACACACGCCACCTGTTTGGCACAAAGATAAAGGTTTGTTCTTAGTTGTGTAAACACACAGTTTAACATCTCCCCTGAAAACTACAGTTTTATGGGTGGGGTACTTGCAGACACTGACGAACACAGACAAAGAGAGAGAGCAGCTTTGTGTGTCACACGTCCCAGAGTGGCGAATGTCAGCTATGTTTTCATTTATCTGCTGCTGCTATTTACATCACGGATCTTCACTTGTGAACTCTGGGTTAACACCAGCCAACCAGATTCTGACAGTTCTGTTTCTACCAGTGCTGCTTACTTCTTTTAACACAGCCACAATGATTAACCCAGTAGGGGTGCTACAGTTGGTAGACTACATGAATCATGGTTAATGGCTTGTTTCTGCTGCCTTTCACTAAAATGGTGTATGAGGTTGGCACAGTTACAGTAAAAACTGTTGAGTATCGTTATGACTCTATGGAGAAATACCTCAGCAACTATCACGGAACCCTTAAGCAAAGCAGAGAGCGGCCAGTCTGAGAAGAGAGATGGTTGTAGGTGACGAATTGGGA